GATCGGGCGTGTACGTACTTTACAAAAGTGTCTGAAAACCAATCTACGCTTGCATGTTCATTATATCTGCTTGCAAAATTGTAGTTGAACCTTGTTTTGATGTCACTAGTTTTGGGGGCAAAGGTATTGAGCACAGGTTAGGAAATTTATTAACGCCCTTTCCAAAGGCGTACATACACGTGTAGTAATTGTATACACCATAAGATGGCATTAACACAGCCAATCATATTTAATTGCTTCTAAAAATGAAGGAAAAAGAGGAAATTGGGGAGGCTTGATAAAGATGACGGGGTTTGATATAAACAGACGACACGCGTGTGAATTTTGACCTACTTTTGAAATATGCGACTACTCCATATAGTGTTTAAAAAGTACACATACTTCTGCATCCACACATGTGTATTCATTAGAATACATTGTAATTGACGTGCAATATATATATATTTATATATATCATAATCTGCATTTCGTTTTGTATGACTCATTGCTACATGTATATTGATTTCAAATGTGTTTAATGAAAATGCAGAAGAAAGCATATGTATGTATAGATACTTACCTTATTTACTTAATTGCATATTGATTTATCCTAATTCCCTTTGAATTCATGTATACATGTATGCTTATGTGACTATTAGGTTGAGCGAAAATAAAATTCTGATTATTGATTATGATTGAATAGCTCGTCAATGCTTTATATCGGCAGTGCTTAATCAATGACACTGCGCTATACCACTGCGGCTAATAAGTAAACAACAGATTTAAGACTACGTTTGCTGTTACGTTTTGTTGATAATTGGTAAGATATCATATTGTTTTATGTACAGTATTATCTGGGTTAAATCTGTTATATGTGTTAGAATCCCGCCAGACTGTAGTAATCTGTCTATTTTGAGCAAAACAAAAATAAAACTAAACAAACAACACAACACAAACAAATAAACTGATCAATAAATAACGAATATGTATATACGCATATCACATTTGTTAGTTAGATGTAGTTGAAATATCATTTACAGACTATATTAAATAGATACATCAAAGACTATTCGGTTATACAATAACATTTTGATATTATCTTTTTTTCTCTCTCTTTTCTTTTTTTCTTTCTTTCTCTTCCTCCAAAAACAAGAACAGATGAAAGGAATACAAATACATATTAAGTTGAGACGTTTATTGTATCTTTATGGTGAAGGCGCGTGCATTATTGCCCATCCAGAAGTTGTAAATCCGCCATTTGCCCAAATCTAAACACATAACGGATAATGTATGCCACCTCGAGCACGCCACTGTACATCCAATTGGTTTCGCAAGCTTTGTGGTCGACACTAATATCGAGAACCAATTCCGGATCATCTGGCAGAACCTCGGAGGTCACTCCCTGATTGGAACACACTTCAACTCTACTTGTGAACAAATTATGGATGATGAAGCAGTCATTCTTTTCTGACTGGGGAACTATTATGTCCAGTGGCGGGAGCGGAGAGAGCGCTAAAACGGATTAGTGATATTTAGTGACCATCGAGATGACACCAGTCCCTGACACTTCTCCTCCGAGAGGAAACCGTTTAGACAACCCAGTCCAGTACTAGCCGACGCTGCCGTACAGCTTTGTACGTACACTAAGACAAGAGGTGGTCGTATTTTATACATATTAATGAACTTTTAAAACTCCCCACGCCTTCCGTCTGTTGTCTTGGTGCCTAACTCAGACACGTAATAATGCAGTTTCTCACCGGGTCACTGGGACGCCATAAACCGGCGATGGCATAATCTTCGATTTTCTTTCTGAACTGATAGCAACGCTCCAAAAAGGTTCAAATAAATACAGGACAATTTTGCTATACGTTATATTTAATGTTCGAACAAGAGCAGGAATATATTTACTTTTATTTGTGTTTTATTGCGTTTGATTTCGTTACCTATTCACCCTTCGGGTTTTTATCGATGGGGAGACTATCACACGATTCATATCGTTCTACTATTACCATCTTGTATATATCTAGTAGTTAAAAACGGAAGCAAACATTAAATACGGCCTATTAAAGATGGTTTTGACGTTTCGTATGCCGCATCTCTGGTCTTGTACGATTAATATTGTTCATTTGGAGTGTTATTACTAAAACAAATATAGCTCAAGCGTTAAGTATTAATTAAAAATTCCAAATATGCATTAGAACTTTTGGATTAGAATTAAGGGTTACACTTTATACCTCAAATAGCATATACAGATTATGTCTCCATTCATATTAATTAATACATGTAATTTTGTTTAGCACACACTTTTAAAATATATAAACCCTTTTTTTAAATATAATGTGAAAATAATTTAGTCCAAGTCAGCTGTCTGTTTTCATGGTGGCTTAAAACGTAAACAAAAACAAATAATTTGCTATATGAATAGATATAAATAGAAACCAAACTTTTACTATCAGACAGAAAGATGTTCTCAAAAAGAAATCTTGTTTACATGGGTTATATTGTTCTGAAACATGCTGAAAAACTGGGATGGTTGTAAATATGATAGTATATAAATATATATTATCTAAAATGATATGATACTTAAAAACAAAAGTAAAATACAAGAGTTTGATTTTAACACTTTGCTTAGGGCGTCCATAGGAATCAACAACCCTCTTATAATGCGCATTAAATTGTTATCATATAAATATAAAACATATACAATGTTATGATACTTAAAAGCCTCAAGTTAACTACAGGAGTTCTTTATTCGAATTTAGTAACCGATTTTAACATTTGCTGTGGGCGCCTTTACATGTAGGAATCGATAAAAAAGCATTGTACATGTAATACGGAGTAAACGTAAGTTAAATACAGGCACAGCCAAGCTCACATGGATGGATATTAAGGAAATTAGGGACTCTGTGCATTTTTTGATTAAAACAAATATCGATATACTACTTAATACCTCATAAAGCAGATATTCCTCTAACAAATGTAGACCAGTGTGGGATATTTCTATCATACGACATGCACAGGAAAGAAAAAATATAATAAGTAAATGTGAAAAAAACATAAACACTATTTACTTTCAGTAATACAAATTATTTTAAGACTGACACAAATGTATCACTTAAAAAACCCCACTGATTCTTAAATCTTGTTCTAACTATTTAAAGTATGCTTCGTTTTTCTATTAATTCATCTTTTCAGTGTGAGGTATTACATGATGTAATGGCTTATTTGAGGTGTTGTTTATATTTCCTATTTATTTAAAGGTGTTGTTATTACGTCCGTCGTTGTCGTTAGATTGGGTTGAGACGAATGTGATTTTCTCGTAGTAACTTGCTTTTTAATCTTAATATTTACAGGATGTTCGTTGGTTTGCTAAGATAAGGAAGATCCTCGCTGACAGTAAGTATGTCATGACATATAAAGAAATCACATTTAATTTTGGTTTCATGATTGTGATTCATCAAATAAGTCTATACTATGTGTTCGTTTATTTTTATAGAATTCTGAAACAAATTCATTGTCGAATATATTCCGTTGAAATACGTTCTGAGGTAAATTGCTTAGCAGGTTTAATAATGATACTCGATACAACATGTGGCCGCAAATTTGAAATAACGATTGTCTAGCTTCTTCCGTTCCCGGTGAATTGAGTAAATCAATACAAACTAATTGTAAAATAAATAGAAAAGGCAATTTTAAACAGCGACTGCTATAATTGTAATAGTTGCTGTTGAATATGAATTTTACAAATGTATGCCCAACGCATTGTCGTAGATAAAAAACAAAGCAGCATCTCAAAACTGCTGGTTACTAAAATATGAGAAAAAATATATTGTAAAACACGATTTGTAAACATTTGCATTAGTATTAATAATTTAAAAATGCGAGGATAGATGAAAAATACATGTAAATAAATGAACGCATGTTGGTGTATTCGGAAATATATGAAACTCTATTTAAATTTGCACTGAATATCACATTACTTTGTTACCAATTTTCTTGTAGTTTTTTTTGCATATGCAAACACAAAGTATCATTGCATTATTGACAATCTTATCCGGGTTTCAGTAGAGTTGAAATAGTAATATAAAGTTCATTATATTGAATGTGTTTAAGAGACCGCCTTACATATGTAATACAATAATATGTAGCACGTGGTTGTTAAGTAGCATCGCAAATACTCTAATATTGTATACACAACCTAGATCAATATACGAAACACTATAGTGAATTGTACAATTGTCTGCTCAACTGGTATTTGATATATTATAAAAATGTGTAAACTATCGATTATCTCCATTATTTAAATGAATGATATATAAACGCCTCGGATATATTTAATATTTCGATAATCTTTCTATTTTTACGAAATTATCAAATGTAAACGCTTTGTCTTAAAATACAATTTGAGATAGAAATGTGTATGTAAATACAGGAAGGAAAAATTTAAAATCCATTTTTATAAAACTTGTATATGACACATCCACGTGTATATTTAAATCTAATCGTACGAAGAAAAGCTGTATGATGCTAAAGCTAACATCCACATAAAGGCGTGAACTGATATACAAATCTACATGTATCCCTGCAGGCAACTTTTTTCACTGTCTCTAATAATCCTACCCATGCCTTACCTAACGTCCAAAATAGACATATACACATATTGAAAATAACTTTCAATTCTCCCACGTTACATTGTATGTACATCGAGTATATATACACTAGATTTTATAGACATCGTCTCTACCAATCATGACGCAACGTATCGGTCTAGTAGACGTCGCTTGGTTTGTTTTCATTCGATACTCCCCACGTGCTCTGTGTAAAACTCGTTAACAGGCCCAACTCGACCTGTCAAATCTCAGCGCAATCTCAGCCTGTCTGGAGAGCTAGCCCAGCCCCGTGCATACACTATAAATGGCTTTTTCAATTTAAACCAACTGGCCGTGTCGCTTGCTGGGACCCATCTTAAAAGATTTTTACGTCGTAAATCATATTTGTCGAGGGAGTCAAATGGAATGGCAAAGCTTGGCTCCGCCCACATTGGGCGAGTTCTATAATTGATGATAGCGGGCTGTACGGGACCAGATTTGAAATATGTTGTAATGTTCTCATGTGTGAGCTGTTTTTGAGACTGTTGAAGAGATTAACAGTAAGTATACACTACCATTACTATTTATATACTGCTTTATTGTCTACACTGAAGCATCGTTTACAAATACTGCGTTTGTATATCTAGTTAAAATAATACACAACTCGAAATCGATAAAGAGTGAAGTACCATATCGGTTGGGAAAATGAATATTCATCTTTGCTGAACACTTAGTTATATGCCTCCATAAATCAGTGTTTTCGCCCATTTGCATTCTCTGACTTTTCTATTGACATCCACGACTAATTCAACGTCATATAAAAAACCCTAAGTAGAAGGGGAAGTGGGGTCTAACGTCTATACGTCGGATTGCAAGGTTACTGATTTTATTCATTTATGAACGAAGAAAAAACCCTCATCAACTGGCACACCACAACTCATTTTGGTGTTAATCGTCTGATGTTTACTTTAGTAGTGTAGTATTCTTAATTAATTAATCAAGCATGGTATTATAATCATGATGTTAGATATGAAATAATGAATATAACGTCACAACGTAAAGTGTACTAGTTGTATTGTATATACTTGAGTAATACTTTTTTGGTGTTTTTATTTAAAGATGATATAAATGAATAATTGAATGAAGCTTTGTAATAAAAAAAACGGGGTATGTATAAAATGTCTAGCGTTTAATTAAAATACAGTGCTATACTATCAAATGCAGTTTTTAAAACTAGCAGAGAAATTAGCAGAGCAACCATTATAGCTGATATATCTCGTACAAATCGACGGTGTAAAACCGTTTCCTTTTCCATTTATGATCACATACTAGCAGAAACATAGAATGCCATCATTTTATCGAACAACCAATTTTATATTGAAATACTATTTAAAATAAACCAGTGTAGTTATAACTGATTATACACTACCACGCCGTGTATGAATAATGCAGTTTGAATCAATGTTTAGAAAAGGAAAACTGTAACATTTTCCATAAAATAATTAACAAATTACTTAATATATTTATATTATATACCTACTGAGAGGATAGCTATTTGCAGAAAACATGTCATCCAGGTACATACTTTATTTGACTGTTTATTTTCCCCATGGGTCTAAAGTTGCTTTTCTCAATGGTATTTAACAGCATTTCCATTAATTCAATAATATCAGTTCATGAAATCTAATATGGTAGTTTTTGTTTTAAAATATTATGAATATTTTCTAGTGAATGATACAAAAATCACGAAAGCTGCATTTCTTGTGTAATAATGATAATCAAATACCGTGTTATGTTCTCTGTATAATTTGAATCACTTTAAAAACTGTTTATATGTTAGTAAGTATCACAAACGCATTTGACAATACACTCTTAACTACTGTTAAAATAATAGCTTATGATATTATTTCTATCAATTTCATGCAATTATTCTTTGATTCATTGTTGATATTTTTAAATCAAATATGACGTACGAAATACGATATTAAGTATATCAAATGGTAGTTTATTTCACTCTTTAAGTGATTGCGAAAATTCAATAATATTTACGTTCTCATTATTATTATCAGTAAACCTAAACGGGTTCAGTGCTATCAAGCTGAAATATCAAACCTAACTATAATGGGTGCTATTGAAGTGTTGTATCTTCAGTTCCAAACACCAAACACATGTACATGCTTCACATTGTTATACATTTGAACTAAGCAAACTCGAAATGTTGGTCTAATGCAAGGAAATGGCATTAAATATTGTATTGATGATTATTGGATCCCATCATTTTCCAACAGACCTACTGAAGGAATCTTAATAATTAATGTATTGGCTGATATTCAATTGATCCCACCATTAATGAGGGTTGAGTGGGATGTTACTTATTTGTGTATTTAACATTGCCAGGTCAATATTTCAGCAATATGGTCACATTTTTATTATCATTTGTCACGTTAGAAAAAAAGTTATAATTATATCGCAGTGTGTTTGCTTAAGACACTGTAATGCCTAATGAAAATTAATGCGGGATACCTGTGCTCTTTTCCCTGCAAAGCATAAACATTTTGCTTCTTTGTTTTTATATACATATCAGCATCCAACTAAGATAAACCGAAACATTGTTATAATGTGCTAGGATTTTTACACGTTTTAATTTTGCAAATCTAATATGTTACGAAATATAGGTGGTGAAAACATATGAAAATTCATATTAAAAATATGAATAGTGGAACATAAATGTACCAAAATTAACTGGTTGGTTTCTATTATAAAAAACAACTTAATAAATAACAAGTATCAATACCTTGTTAACTGTATAGACTGCCCTAGTGAAGCAGTTATTCTAAATGTAAAATTCAAAACATTCATCAACAAATATTTATAATATCTACCATATAAAATGTTTTGAAAAGCAAACATTACAGCTGTTCATTACCAACCAGGTTCAATGGTCATCCATTTCTTTATATCCCGATGTCGTTGATATATAAGATATCCAGGCTTATTGTCTAATATTGACTTAATTATCCATTAATGGATTTTCATGTAGGAATACAATAACAATAAGAGCCGTTACATTAATAAGATGGTATGGACAGGTAAGCCCCACATGGAGTAACCATTATGATTTCACTTGTAAACATCATACAAATTTAGAACACCCCATAAGGATTTCTAAGTTCTATTAAACAAAATCGAACACTTCCAAAGTCATTATCAACTCGACTAAACATTAAATTTAAACAAAAATGCAGTGCATTCCAAAGATGTGAAATTCAGCATTTCTGATGGAACTTTTTAAACAGATTATGCAAACAGCATAAAACGATGTATGATAGGAACATAGTTTATCGTTTACACAATAACGGACGTATAACTATATAATTGGAGTGAACAAATGGGGCATATATAATAGGAGATATCTTCTGCTGAATTTAACAGATGTGAATGTATTCTAGAAGTTACTATTTCTTCTGATCCAAAACTGTTGTTGTATCCAATCTTCCATTTACAGCAACAGCATGCTATTGAACACATATAAGTGAAGTTCTGTGACATCTTAACCATTAAATTGTGATGATGCATTCCATACTTTGGCACAAATGTAAAGTAGATGAAGGTGGGTGGGATGCTCCTTTGAACCATGCATACATATCTACACCCTTCATTGAAACGATACTTGTTAACGAACTTGGCAGAAACTTTATTCATATCATCTGATGTTACTACGAAGCCACATCAAAATAATAATCAAAAATAAGGAGAAATTTCATAATATGCCAAGGATATTGGATCGGTAATGTTGTTTTCTTCTTTAAAGATAATTGTGAATCACTTGTATGTCGGCTGTGTTGTATATTCTTCAGAATTAACATATTTAACGAATGCAGACGAATCTTTAAAAGAGACATGACTTGTTCTAAAACATGTACACAATTTAATTCCAACTAATCTTATCTATTAATTCAATATCATCATTACCAGTGCATTGCTGGAGTAGAGTGTCAAGGTAACAACTGAACCAAAATAAAACAAGCACGCAAAATGGGCTCATACATGCAGGTAGCGTATTTGTAAAATGTTTGTTTAATGCACACGTTCATTTTCAGCTTCCAATATACATTCCTTTCTTGACTTTCACTATCCTTAGCACGACTAAAGTATATTTCCTGACATGCCCACGGTATTGAACTGTTAGGTCCCTTTTGATATAGCAACGCTAGTTGTCTGACTATTAAACTGTATACTGTCCAGTGTTTACATTCTATTCCTAGTATGATTCAGGAATGACTCCTCAGGAGTACCAATATCTGCCAGATGTGGTCTTTGATTTGAGAGAGAGGAAGATATATCGGACCTACTCATGGTGATCTGGCTCACTAAAATCGATATGTGTTCCTCTATCTGACTTACTTCTTCGTACTTCCCTCTTATTGACATTTATGGGATGGTAAACGCTATTTTCGAACAGATATGATAGGTTTTTATACCACTACCACTCATGCCGACGTTGCTAAACGCTATTGTTATAACATCGTTTTCTCATTTATTCTCCCCTCCATTTTATCCAATTTGACCTTCGCAAACAGATTTAAATATTGTATTGAGCCAATGGTCACTTTTTACATTTAATTTAGTCAATGGTTACTTTTGACTATTTTACGACATCTTCATACTCATCTATAACAAAGACCCGTTTGTAACAGTTTACTCATCTTCTGCTATCCAATTCAGAAATAGTAGTGCAGGATTTAGTAGTTTAAAATCAGAACTATTGACACTAATTATAATGCTTGGCCTGTTCAAATCAGATTAAAATCCAGACTACCAATCAAACTAGCTACCATATATCTACAATATTAAGATAAACATAAACAAATGATAAAAATTTAAGAAAAAAAATGAAATAAAATTACAAAGATATATTTAAATAACAAACAATATAATGCCAACATGTAAATAATCACTTATCAGTTTCTGTGTACAGCTAGCACTGATCTGAATATACCAGTTGAAAGAAAACATGGTGTAAATATATAAACAATGAAGCAAGATGAAATCTGAGTTGAAATTGTTGAATAATGTCATCAACAAAACACGCTTTTATATACAAAAAAAAAGGTGTTGACACAAAATATGTCTATGCAGTTGGTTCTGGTGTCATGGATTATTCAGAGGTGTAGATATGTTCAAACAAACGCCGTTTTCAATCTTGATAAAGTAATATTTAAAAAAAGAAACTCTTTCTATCACAAGAAACAAAATTCATGGAATTTTCTACTCGGATTTTCGTGGATGAAGAATGTTAGTTCTAAAATGATGAAGAGGGTGCAGTAGCGCGGATTGTAGCGGATTGTAGCTGGTCCAGAGACCTAGCGCGGGCCTCCAGGCGAAGGGTGAAAGAAAGGAGCAGGAAAACAAATTACTATTTCCAGAAAACACATGAATCACTCAGACAAAAATTGGAAGGAAAGAAGCAGTTAATTTTCACGACATGTAGTTCTGTGCGATATTGTCCAGTATAGGCGGATAACCGAATCTGTGGAAAGGTCAGCCGACGTCGAGAAGT